TTGAAATAATTTAATACGGTGGCTATAGGCCGACGGCGTTGGGCGTGTAAATAGAAAAACAGCGCAAAAAAAAAACAAATCGAGCTCGAATTGAGCTCGAATCGCTGTCGACAAACTTAGAAATGTGGAGTTTTATTCCGAAAACTTTACCTTGCCCAAAACCCAGGGAAACGTGGAGTTTTATTCCGAAAACTTTCCTTTGCCCAAAACCCAATAATTGTTTTATTCCGAAAACTTTCCTTTGCCCAAAACCCAGTAACAATGGATTTTTCGAAGACTTTTTGTAATATTAAGCAGAAACTTCGGGCTTTTTACATAAGATATCACTATACCAAACTGAACCTAACACTAACCCTTACCCTAACCCCAACCCTAAACATAACCCTAACCCCTAACCCTCACACTTACCCTAACCCTAAAAGTTACCCTAACCATAACCCTAATCCTAACCCCTAACCCTTACTCTAACCCTAATCGTGCTCGAATCGACCTCGAATCGAGCTCGAATCGCTGTCGACAAACCTGGAAATGTGGAGTTTTGTTTCGCCATTACCAAGGAAACTCCTGCCCGTTTTAGAACCCATTGCTCTAATGCTGAGTCGGTGACCAAACTTCTACCATAATAATTAGCTAACAATGGTCAATATGCCAACAATGACCACCTAACACACTTAAACTCTCGGATAATGAAAAGACAATAAGGAGGAGGTTCAGTTAAGTTATGTCTATTCAAATTCCTTATAAATAAAAACACTCCGAAAATAGGCTACGAACAAAACCATACCAGATTCTCACAGATTATCCATAGCTAGCGATTCGGACACAGCTGACTATAAGGGGTGCGAATGAGTTCAAAAAGTACTTAACCAATGTATTACTCCTGATTCTACCATCATTCGTATGGTCGCTTGTTTGGGAACTCAGCTGTGAAGCACTTTAGTTTGTTTCTTACGATGAGTCCAAGGAGCGAAGATAAATAAGATAGGGGCAAACGCCTGGGCCCAAGATTGCACGAACATCAACCTGCAATCCATCGCAAGGACAAGCTGCCCTTGGTCTGTGGTCATGTGCAACAGCTCAACCACGAATTCGCCTTTGAGAAAGCGAGGTTGATCAGCAGGGCCAATGAGAAAATGGCCCGACTAATGCTGGAAAGCTGGTCCTCCACTGGCACAATCAACAGAGCTCTTGACTTGAGCCTTGCCTACCAGGCGCTTCGCATAAGGCTCGGATCAAGTCAGCCAGGGCCAGTAGGCCAAATGAGTATGCAGGGCCGAGAGCCAACGCCCACGGAAAATAGGGGGTGGAGGTCGGAGGTCACGCGGCCAACATCAAACACTGTCTCGCCGTCACAACCGCGAGGCAAAGAACAACTCAAGGGAACAGCAGCGAGTGATCAGTTCGCTTGTATTGGCAACGAGTGATCAGTCCGCCAGATGAGGTGGAGGAGGCTCCCAAGCACATAGACTTGCCTACAACTACGCTGATCGCAGAAGGAACGAAGGTCACGCAAGCCCACCAGCAGCCAAACCCCGGAAGACCAAATGGGGTCAGCAACGAACGGGCAGATCAAGGTTCACACATCCAACACCGATATAATTTGAGGCAGACGGCAAGACGGGATAATTCAAGACCACCAGACGAAGTTACCACAGCACTCTGACGATGGAAGCGAGAAGGTTTTCGAAACGTCATTTCAAATATAATTTGGTCCATGAACTCGCCCCCTCTTCTTCTTTCTTACCTTTAGGAGATGATAAACGCAATAAGAAATATCTACAGGCTCAGGCTGTGCACACTCTTTTTGCTCTAAGTCCATATTCTATTGCCTTTCGTCAAGCAGTCCTCCTAATAGTGGTATTACTGCATCAAGGTTTGTAGGGAACCCTTAGTTTTGTCACTAACTTCTTTTATGGTCGTGCGGAACGGGCGTTCGTTAACCCATCTCTTATTTAAGACAGGATATGAACACTGCATTTCCCCCTAGAGTTTTCAGCCGGTACCCAGTAATTGGAAAGTTTCGGCAACAACGTTGAGAGTAGTTAAAATAGCTGCTTATAATTTGTCAGTACTTTCGTCAGTAATCTACACCCTGGGCCCAAGACATGTCTACCCATGTTTTGAACGCATTTATTATTGCCTTGCCTCAAAATTCGAGCTACGAATCTAGGAAATTTTAGCTGCAATTGGGAAGGGCACGGGTATAATCTATTGGCAATCTGTTATAAGCCAGGAGTGGTAATTTTGGTCTCCTTTATGTTAATTGATAAAAATGGCACCATGGTAAAATTTGAGCTATTTCTTGATAACTTTTCGTCAACCAATATGATGACACGGCCTGGTGGACAGTTGAGAGTGCAGAAATTAAGGAGTGCCCTGATGTGCTAATATCACCGTCATCACTAATGCTACTAGCATCACTAAAATTGCCCTACTCCTGTTACACTGACTTAGACTGTCCTACTATACCTACCTGATACTGTATTGTCGTATTACTAAAGATATACACTGCATTAGGCATACATGTAGTCAATAGACGGTACAATGCTCGACGAACGGGCATGGTAGGACTGATGTACCACTC